CATTAATTCGGAGTAAGCATAAAAAACATTATTACCAAAGTATTTTTTATCTTAAGTAACACGAGTAAATCTACTCATTAAAATTGGGTACGTAATCGCTGCTTAAAATTTGATCTAAGCTTGAGTGTTGTTTTGGTTAACATGAAACCTATGAAATGAGTTATTCAAAAAATTTATTTAGTCATTGTAATGTTGAATCTTGTTAAGTCTAAATTGTAATAAATATTTTATCTTCGAATTCAAATACTTGAGATGTATTTACTTTCAATTTTAGTTTTTTAATATAAAATATAACTTGAATTCAATATCTAGTTCAAAATCTATTCTTCTTAGATAAATATAAAGTTGTTCCTCATTTTTATGTATACGCGGTTTTAGGAATTTTTTAACTCATGCATTATTAGGTCTTATATTTTAATATATTGGTTTTTTTTGACCTTTGCAATAAAAAAGTTTACAAATTTAATATTGGAATTTTTTTTTGCCTTCAAGGCCTTTTTATTACAGTATTTCTATTGAAATTTAGAAATCATTAAAACATAACATAATAAAAAATTTTTAGAATATAATAAATATTCAAATTAGAGTTTTCTTTTATTATTATGCAATTAAATAGCAGAGTTTCATCTTTCGACAAGAAGAACGAAAATTATGTAAAATAAATAATCTCTGTTTAGCGAATATGATATTCACAAAAGAAAATTTTATAATGCATAATATTACTAATTATACTATTAGTGGTGAATTTGATCTAGCTAAATCTTTTTAAACTTAATTTTTATTATACAATTAAAAAAATATCTTGCTTTAAATATTTTTTACAAGTAAATAAATATCAGTTATTGCAAATAAAAAATTTAAAAAAAGCAATGTATTAATGCTGTAATTAAAGTTAATTGCTGTTTTAAGTTGCAACTTCAAGTATCTGAAATTATATCTGCCTAAAAATTGTATTTGTAATCTAATTTAGATACTAATTTTAGTCAAGTATAATTATAGTTGTACTTTTAGGTTTTAAGTATAATATAAACTTTATTGATTAAAATTTTTTAAAAAATTAACTTAGTTATCTATAAATTATTTTATTTTAATCTATATATAGTATACTGAAAAATATTAATATTTGGATGCTATATTAAAAACTAATTAAGAAATAAATATACTAAATAAAATGTTCAAAACATCTCAAAACCTCATATAATTTAAAATTTAGACTAATATATATACAGTATACTGTATATAATCCTTTGAAGCTTATTTTTTAGCAAGAAAATTAAATAAAATAAAGAGATAATACGAATAACCCCTGGTATAAATATTATTTTTTCTTATTTTATTATAAATTATTTTTAATTTATTTACTATATATTAAAAAACTTTGTTATTTACAAATATCAATTATACCGAGTTGGTTAAAAGTCCCTAAACAGACCTTTTTCTTGCTACCTGGCTAATATTAAGTTGCTTATAAATTTATAAATTTATAAATTTATAAATTTATAAATTTATTCTTTATAAAAATAACCATTATAAAATTTAGATCAATTTTTAAATATTAACTCACTACGTATGCTTAATATTTTATTAAATAAAAAAATAAGTTAAACCTTGTGATTTAAAATAGTATAATTGTGTACAGTTACAAAAGTATACTTTATATAATAATTAATAAACTTTTATAAAAAAAAATATTAATGTTTATTAAACAAATATTTTAAATTTCCGTATATGTCAAAATAAAATAAAATAAAATACGTACGTACGTATAACGATTTTATCGATACATTATTATTAAGGTTTTTTGTAAAAATTGTGATCAATGTTAGAGTAATCATTGGTTTAGTCCTATCAAATTGATCAATGATTTATAGTAATTAAATTTGTCTAGTTACACGAGTATAATATTTCCATTGACTGTTTCAAATAATTATGAACTACAGAACCGAGCATAAAGATTTTTAAGTTTATTAATATATTAAGCCAAGTTTGGTTTTTTTAAATAAGTAATAATCTTTATGCATGCACATCAAACATTCAAATTTCCTAGTATTTTTTACTCGTTACAAATATATTGTACATTACATATGATTTAACTATACTGTATGTATGATCTCGTTTAGAAGAATTGAATAGGTAATCATTTGCACAATTTATTGAAATTCAATATTGTTAAAAATACATATAAAATTTAACACTACGTAATTTGTTTCGAAATAAATGTCTTTTTTTTTAAATGTTAACATTGTTTGTTCGATTAGACCACAAAATTTCGAAATGATTAGTCTGACAAACAAAATAAATTTGAGGTATACGTATACTGTAGTATCTTAATTTAAGGAATGCGTACAAATCTGTTTATAGTAACCTTCGGACCATTAGCAAAAATTCCTTTTATCAGGGGGTTTACGTATGTATAATGAACATTAATATGTATCAATATATCGATATGTATATATTAATTTTAAGTTCATTCATTATGTCTTATCGTATATTGTGATCGAACTGCATTATCATAATACAATAAATTTAAAAAATTGATTATTCATTTAGAATATTTTGGTTTTAAAAGTTAATCTGCACAGATATGGTAGATGATCAAGGAAAAATTCTGGACTCAACAACAGTATTTATCGTTATTGCATCTATTGTAACCAAACTCGAACTCGAAAGCTGTTTTTTTTTTTATGGAGTTAGCACTTTAAAAAAAAACTATTCTTTTTTTATTCAGTCAGCAAAACTTTAAATGCAAATCTTTACTTGGTTCTCCAAATGCATGCATTAAAAGCCGACTTATAACCATATCGATATCGATATGAAATGGATATCTTTTTTAGAAACCAATTCAATCACATGAACAAAAAGTTATAATGGTGAAATTTGGAATCAAAAATATACTATATAATTTAAGCAAAAATAACTTAGTGTTCATTAACTCTTTTAAAGACTAAAAAAAAAAAGTTTTTCCTAACGTTAGCATTTAAAAATATATATATAGTACGTATTAGAAACAATCGGAGTAATCCTGCAGCTCTTGCAGATTTATATTTTTCGACACATATAATTTCCGAAACTTTTTTATACTCCTATATCTGTATATCATTTTAACAACTACGTAGCATTACGTAGACTTAAACGACTGTTAAATAACGATTCTTGTTCAGATAAGTTTAAGATGAAAGATTTACTAAATATAATATTCTTATTATTATTACATAATCTTACGTCATACTTAAATTGAAATTTAACACTTTTCTCCACATTATTACGCCCTCGCTCATCCCAAATCGATAACAATCGAACCCCCAACTTAATCTCAACTCAATCGGATTATTAACATATGATAATATTACATAGATATTGATACTATACTAGTATACTGAATATATACCAAATATACAAAAATAAATTTATTATTTAGCGTTATAAAGATTATTTTATTTTTTTATATGTATTTATTATTAATGATAAAACTGTACAGTATAAGTTGTTGTCTTAATATTACTTAAAAGTGGCCTACGAAATATATAAAATGATAATGTCGTCACAAATAAGACTACATCCATCAAAATGTTGCATAATTATGAAACATTCATTTCTGAAGGTAGAAGTAAAAAAAAGGAAAGGAAAGGAAAACCAGAATTTCGGTCATTTCTAGGTTTCCCAAAAAAAAATAAAAATTAATTGAAAAAAAAAATTCTATATATTTATTATAATGAATGAAAAAGATTTTTTAAATGTTAAGCTAAATTACACCGCACATAAGATGTGCAAAAAATTACTAAATTACTTTTTAACAGGATTATTTTGTTGATTTTGTTGAATTTCTTTCAAATAATCTGGCGGAACATGGTTATGTTTTTTCGTTAGACTGCAATTGTCCACACAACATTCGACCATTTGGAACCACGTATCCTTCTTGATTGATTCGATAGTGATACGTTTATTAGCGTCAGGTTCTAAAATTTGATACATTAATTCCCGACAACCCGATGGAAGTTTTTCAAACGGTTCATATAGACCCAGACTTTTCGTTTCTAGGTAATTAGTGTAATTTGGATCCGATGGAGTTGCCATTCTAAATGGGATGCCTTGATATATCATGCAGTAATATACAATACCACATGCCCAAACATCAACAAGTCGAGCATCGTACTCTTTTGTTTCAAATTGTTCCTATAAATAAATATATAATAAAATAAGTTAGAATATAAATGAAATAGATGAATATAATGAATTTAATTAATAATAATAATAAGTTATATTTACCGGAGCAATATATGGCTCAGAACCACAAAGTCCTTTGGACATGTGAGCAACATCT